CGGCTCACCCCCCTGCCCCACTGCAGCCCTCCCCACCTGACAGCGTGATGTCATGGGGCTGGTCAGCGACGTCATTCCCGCTGCAGACCAAGGTTCCTGTGACATCAGAGCTTCAGGGAGCGATTTCCTCTAATGGAGCAGAGACAGGGAAAGGACCTGCATGGGGAGGGAAGGAGAAAGGGTGCTGGTGGGACCCCAGGTGGTTCAAGGCCATGACGGTCTCCCCTGGGTGCTGGAGAGGGGTTGGGACAGCGAGGCTGATCCCACAAGCTGGGGAAATGGGCACAGGCAAACCCCCTCTGTCCCCTGCCAGCCTCACCCCAGGCCCAGCCCTGCGCCCACCCCATGCTCCTGTGGGTTCGTGGGGATCTCTCACCCTGTGCTTCGATGCACCAACCCCATGGGAAGAGATGGAAACCAGCCCCAGGACATGAGCTGGCCAGGCTGGCCTGGCTTCCCCCAGGGCCAAGCAGGATCCCCCGGAATGCCCAAGAGACAGATGCTCCGGACTTGTGAAAACAAGGAGAAGCCATGGCGCTCTGCGGGCAGCCTGGCACTTTCTTACTGCGCTGCCCCCGTGAAGAAAATCCCTGCGGAAACGTACGGATTAATGAGCTTTAATAGAGGCATTAATAGGGGAGGACTCTTCAGCTCTGCTGGGAACGGAGCTGGGATTCCCGGCTCCTGACAGAGAGGAGCACAAGTCCCTGAAGGAATGTGATGTGCTCGTTCCCCCGAGCTGCCCCATCCACAGGGCACACGTGTGTGTGTGTTGGGGGATTGGGGCAATAATCCGGACACCCCAGCAGGCTGAGGGAAAGGTTTGCGTGGGCTGAGGCCTTGGTTCAGCCGATGGATGCCCTGTAGAGAGGTGTCTGTGTCCCTCCCTTCCCTTTTATCTCCATCCTCACCGGCCAGCTTTCCTTCTGTCCCCCTTCCCACCGCAGCAGGTGCCCCTCTTCCTGCTGCCCACTGTCCACCTACTTCTGCTGCCATCCGGAGTTCCTCCCCGACTTTTCCTTCCCTTTTTTCCTCCCTTCTTTCCCCCCCATAAGGGAAAATTATTCTTCCCGTACTCTCTGGCTGCCCTCTCCCTCGTAGGGACAGACAGGCTGAGGATATGCACAGGGGAGGCCCAGGGGGATGCACCTGCCGGGGGGGGGGGGGCATGATTTTAATAAATCTTGTTATTTTATGCCACCCCACACCCTTCCGTGCACCTTTTGGGACCATTGGCAGCGAGGGGAGCGAGGGTGTCATTAAAAACCACCCTCCCAGGCGGGCACAAGATTTCCAT